CCCCCCCCCATTAAATTGGATGAACTGTTCCAAAGGCCAAGCCATTCCTTTGTATACTGTATCACTTCTCAAGAACTTCATTCTTGAAACTACCCCTTCTATCTCATTATGACTTTTCACTTCTCTACTAGATCACTCCTATTAGCGTCCAACATGGTATAACATCTGTTATTTTTTTAAATCTTTTTATCTATTATTGGCCTCCTCCTATTGATGTATTGCTCTGTTCTGTATAGTAAAATGCCTCAAAAAAGTGTCCATCCCTGATGTCTCCTTACCCCATCCCCACTGTGTACTTTATTTCATTGCTTAAACCATGAGGAGATAATATTAAAATATATATAAGGCCACTCAGTTTAAGGAACAGAACATTACTAGTAATTGTGAAGTTTACTCTGTAACCCTCTGTTCCTTTCCCTTACTCACTAGGAAGTTAATGCTACTGTTTTCCCCCCTAGCTTTACTAAATTATAATTAACATATAACATTGTGTATGTTTAAGGTGTACAACATGATGATTTGGTATATATATGTATTGTGAAATGATCACAATAAGGTTACTTATGTCTTAGTCACCATCTTAGTCACCTCACATAGTTACCTCTGTGTGTGTGTGTTGAGAAAATTTAAGATGCAGTCTCCTAGCAACCTTTAAGTATGCAATACAGTCTTGTTAGCTTCAGTCACCATACTATATGCTTGATCCCCAGAACTTATTCATCTTCTAACTGGAAGCTTGTACCTTTGGCTAGCATCTCCCCATTTCCCCAACCCCCTAGAAACCCCCATCTATTCTTGTTTCCATGAGTTTGGTTTTTATTTTGTTTTGTTTTTAGATTTCACATATAAGTGAGGTCATACAGTATTTGTCTTTGACTTATTTTACTTACTTAAGGTTCATCCATGTCAAAAGCGGCAGGATTTCCTTCTTTTTTATGGCTGAGTAATATTCATATATATGTATACATACATATGTGTATGTATGTGCGTGTGTATATATAAATGTATATAATTTCGTATGTGAAAGATAATAGAAAACCAGTTTTAAATATTCAAGAACTTAAAACTATATCCAAGCCATTTAAAAAATATTTATGCAAAGATATTTAACATGAAAATTAAGAAATTCAGGAAAATAAAATTACTATGTAAAGATTGATGGTAAGCATTAAAGGCCGTTAAACACAGACATAAGTCAGTGTAATTGCTGTGGACATGAAACCAGATTAAGAATAGTTATTTAATACACTTAATTAAATCTAACCCTTAATATTACATTAATAAAGACTGTAAGTAAGAAGGAGTGTGGAAGATTACATGTTACAAAGAGAAAAATGAAAGATATAATTCTTGGATTTGACAGTTAAACAAAATTTAGATTAAGAATGTTAAAAATAACCACTTATGGAATTAAAACATCTTCCATATAACTGGATTAAAAAAAACCAGCAACAAGATATTATGCATAGGAATGAAAGAATACAAATTACTAAATGGTAGCGAACTCCCAGTAAATACAAAATAACTAATATAAGATCACACAGATCAGCGATTTCAATAAATGTATTTTAAATCCCTTTGTTGAAGGACAAATAATCTCCTTCATTACCTAAAAGATAAGAATTTTATCTTATCATGCTCCTGTCCTGCTAGCACAAAATTCTAATTTATTTTCTTCATAGCACTTATCGCTAGTGGAATTATTTTATTTGCTTACGCCCAGTTCTCTGTATTAGCATTAAGCTCCATAAGAAATGACCATGGCTGTCTTACTCACACCTATAATGTCAGAGCTCAGTAAATATGTCTTATCAAACAGTGAAACTTGAATGAATAAATGAATACTACAGATCTCAGATTAAATATAAAAAGGCAAACAAGAAGCAGAGGTTACAATAAAAATGTCGTTTAAAAAGTAACAGCAAAATACTTTTAAAATATAGAGAAGATATTTTTGTTGTTAATAAAAGACAAAATCCATAATGAAATTTAAGAGTCAAAAAACATATTACACCACATACCAGGATCAACATATACAAAACAAAACAAGACAAAAACACAGACATACAGACAGAAATTACAGAATTACAATGAAGATGAGTGACTAATATATTTCTGATAGTCTTTGATAGAGTATTTGAGCAATTTACCCTCTTGAATATATATGTATGTATTTTATATGCATAAAATAACTTTGTATCCAACCAAGTATTTTCTAAGTAGACATATATTGCTTAGTCAGAAAGCAACCATTACTAGAAAGCACTTACTAGATGCCATTGGAAAAAAAGCCTTTGACAAGCTTTCTTCCTTAAAAGCTATTAGAAAAATAATTCGTGGAACTGAAATAAAAATTTGGAATAGATATAAATTTATCTAGATGGAAAAAATGTTAAGTTTAAGTGTCTGGAAACCATTACTAAGACTGGTCTAACATTTTGTAAATGTCAGATTTACCTAATACCTTCTACGTAATACAATCTCAAACAGACAAATTGCAGAATGATCTCCTAAGCCTGAATAAGTGGCCAGAAAAGTGGAAGAATGCTTTCTGAAGATACCAGCATTACAGTTCTACAGCCACATGTCAAGTAACCATAACTTTTCTGCACAAAAACTATGCTAAATTTGATTTCAGAATGCCCTGTGCAACTCTATATGCTATGCCTTGAGAAACAAAAGGGAAAGAATGAAGGTAATGTTTATTGAGCAAATATGTGTTGTTCCAATATGTAATTGCATTGAATAATCAGAAGTAGAAGTAGAGCTGTGTTCATTCATTCAACAAGTATGTCCTGAGCACTTCCACTACTGATGCAAGCACTGGGAAGGGCATTCAGTAAAGTTGGGTGAAACATATTGTATAGCAGTAGATGCTGATAGGCACTGTGAAGACAAAGCAGAAAGGAGGGCTGGAGAGTTACAATTTTAAATCAAGTCAATCAGGAGAGGCTTTTCTGAGAAGATGGTAACTGAAGAAACACTTGTAGGAGATGAGGGAAGGGTGTCCCTGGCCAGCACAGCCAGGGCAAAGGCTCTGAGGCAGAAGTATGAATAGTCAGGAAGCAGGGAGGGAGGAACAGTGAACAGAAATGGGAGTACAAGGGCTATTGGGAGACCAGGCTGTTCAGGGCCTTGAGGGTCTGACTGAACTTGAAGGTGATATACCTTGTGTTTGAAATGAAATGACTGTGTCCTTTGCATAGCTGTGAATAAAAAAGCGGTTCTTTGGAAAGGAACCTCACAGGGTGGTCTGATCAAAACTTCCTGACTGGGCAGGTCATAGTGGGTAGCCATGCCCCAGGCATCTACTTTTTCAGTAAAAAGGTTTATCTTTGCTTTAAGCAGGCCCTGCCCATTGTTTCTGTGCACCTCGTTTAACACACCTTTGGAATGCCTCTCTTCAGACCTGGGAAGCAAACCCCCCTCCAGAGAGCCCATAATCTTGTTAACTATCCTGTAATGCGGTCCCTGCCTTGGTTCCTTCCACCTTCACATAATCTTCCTACAGATGCCTCCTTGATTCCAAATGCATCATAGAAGCAGCAGATCGCTATTCTAGGGAGCATTCTTCTCAGGCTGCTGAGATCTTGCTTCCAGGCATACCCTGTTTGGCTCTAACACATTTTTATGAAAATTCTCTACAGGTTTGGACACTGTTATGTTGACACTGCTGAGCAGCGATGGTGGAAGGAAGTTAAGCTACTACAGTAATCCAGGTAGGAGTAGGAGAAGGTGGTTGCTCGGACCCAGGTGGCAGCGAAGGGGTCAAGTGATGGATTCTGGATGTACCTGAAGGTACAGAATTTGCTGATGGATTGGATATAGAGATGAGAGGAGCCAGCATAACTCCAAAGATTCAGCCTGAACAAACTGAATAAATTTTCATTATTTGCATTTTACAGGAAAGATAACTAACTAGATATTATTCCAAAGCTTATGGTCTTCCCACAGTGCCTCACTGCTTGAGGGAAAAGGCAACTGAAATTATGTGCAGAGAGCATCTACCATATGGATTACAGACTTTTCATTTTACAAATGACAGTTGAGAAGTTTAATAATTGGTAATATCTCCCTGAATTATTAGATTTATTGATCAATTACATGATACAGCCTAAAAATGGAACAAGGCTGGAAAGAAGATGGGAAATTTACGGATGACAGAATCGTATTAGGTTATCTAGGGGTGCTAGGGATACTTGGGTAGAGCTCCACATTCTTGAGGTTGATGGCATGATAAGTTATCCACAGAATCTCCCTGGAAACCAGTGTTTGACAGAAGGAGATGGAGAACAGACTTTCCCACGAGTAGCTAGGCAAACTGTTTCGGTCTGGCTTCTTTATTTCAAGTGTTTCAGACAGAAACTTGAAAAAGTCACCACCAAAGATACTTTCAAGCACATACACAGAGCTGTCCTTTGGACATGTAGTATAATGTATAGCTTTCCAATGAGTTTTTCATACTATAAAGGTTAATAGGCTCCAAGAAATGTATTTAATTCCTTCAAGCTTTCTGTTTATATTCTCTCATTTGCCATGTTAATAAGATGCCCCAGCAATGTAAATTCATTTTGTTGTTATTAGGAGAAGATGTAATTCTTATTGGAAATGTTACATTGAGTATGTAGAATTAATCTTCTATCTGGCTATCTTTGCCTATGTGTATAAACATGCCACAGTGTGGTAATTCCCAACAGTTAGTTCTCTTATATCTGCCCCCTCCCCCAGACATCCCTATTTCAGTGAAAGGGACTTCCCTCTCCCTTCTCAGTCATCTTGACCCAGCTCCTTCCTGTCCTTCACCTCTATGTCAGGACAGCTGCCAGTATCAAGAAGTACTAACTCCGCAGAATGCCTCATGTGTATAACCCTCTTTCTCACTTCCAGTGCTAACAGTCCAGAAATGACTCTTTTTGCCATCTTCTCTCAAGGCATCTCTCCTCAAGTCTGTCCCCACTGCACTTCATCTGGCATGATGGGGCCTGCTGACTTTTAAAGACTGGCTCTGGCCATGTCACTCTATCAAACCCTTATAGTGGCTTCATGTTGGCAGCTGAAGTACACACTTTTCTACCTATGTTTTAGGGCCCTCCCCAGTGGCTCCAAGCTGCCTTTCCAGTCTCATCTCCTGGCACTTCCTTTTCGATGTCACTACAACTCTAGCAAAACCAACCACTCTTCCCTGAACCCGCTTCCGTTTCAGCAGCTCGGGCCCTAACACACAAAAACGTTCCCCCTTTATCAAAAGTTGACCTGTCCTTCTGGTGCTATCTGTGGTGCTGCTTATAAGAAGCTTCTGCTGTTACTCCTGATCCATGTGACCCCTCCCACCCCACCCCGAGCCCAGTCTGTACAGCACTTAATGCAGCCTGCAGGCCTGAGCCCCCTTATCTTTAACATTTGTCCCATGCTCCTCGGTGACAATGTGCTCTGCTCATCCCACAGTCTCCTGTGGTGGTGGGATGGTGCCTTACACAAAGTCAAGGCCAAGGGATTATCAGTGCCTGGGAGTGTTAAGGAGTAGAGACATCTTAAAAGAGGCTGTTTTTAACCTTTACCATTAAAAGCCATGAACATTTCCCTTTCAGTTAATAACAGGATATCAATGGAGACAAACGGATATAACTCTATCTTCCTGGTCTCTTCAGTGTTCTTTCTACTCTTCTGTATAAATAGAATTTACATTACAGTGATTAAAAGTCCCCTGTAAAACGGTGTCACAAGGCCGTATCTGGGAAGAGAGGATCAGCACTAATCTGTTCCTTACTCGCTATTGAGTAAGGAGAATATGAGATGATATGTTTGGATCAGAGACAGAAAGGAAATGGAGTTTTCAAGGGAGAAGAAAAAAATTACAAAAGAAAAACCTGTTTCACAAAATGCAGTCTGTGGAAAATCTTTCAGCTGAATGTCAAGATTAAGAAAAATCAATAAAACCTTTGAAACCAGAACTATGTGAAAGGCCTTTTAGGCTTGATGACAAAATACAAAGCTACGGCTTCAAGAAAGTAAAATCCTCCAGTAACCGCAAAAGCAATTCTTCAATAATCAGGAGACTCCATGGCCCCCAAACATGCTCAGCACAAATTGCTTATTACAGAGATAGGGACAGTCTAGATTCAAAGGGCCAGCGTTTTCAAAGGGACTTTTACCAAGGCTGTAATTAGTTGTTCTGGCAAAAACTGCACACACGTCTAATTGCACACACAATTGGCTAATTGTATCTTCAAAATAAAGGGTAAAGGGTTAATTGTATCCACATCTGGCCACAAAGAAAGAGATTGTCCTTTGAAAATATGACACTCCACTTAGATGAAAATTTGCATTAAACAACCATCCCTATTACTACTAATAATTATAATAATACCACATGCTTACAAATTAATAAATACCTTTCATCGTGATCCTAAAAACACTTCACAAACATTAATTAATCTCACAATACTCCTACAAGGTATGAAAGGTGATTATCCATCCCAATGGCGCCAATGAGGAAATACAGGCAAGTTAGGTAATTGTCCAAAGCCACAGAGGGAACTGAAGTTCCCAGCCCCCAGCTCTGTACGCTGGCCCAGGTCCCCAGGGAGGTTCAGTGGGGAGTCTGGTTCACATAATCAGCAAAAATGAGCCTAAAACCAATGTAAAACTAAGTAATCAAGTTTCAGAATAGTCAAAACTGGCCTGTGATTAGAGACTACATTGACTTCTCCTATTCAAAGGATCATGGAGCACATCAAGAATGGAGCTAACAAGTGGAACTTTTTTTGCTCCTTGGTTTGATTTTATGATAAAATATTTCAGCTAATTTATAAAAAAGTACAGAGAAGCAGACAGTGCATCCCCAATGATTGGTACTTTCAAAAACATATAAGAGATGGATACTTGGAATGTGTGACTATAGCAGCTGTGAGGCTAAGACATGCTGGACATAGGTCATGAAGTCAGGGACTAAAACAGAGTAAAAGCAATGTTATCTTAATTAAAATTGCCACTCAGGAGCATCCAATTTATACTAGCCCAGAATATCTAACTTAATACAAATACATTTCCTTATAAATGCATAAGTACTATATCATTAATATTTGTGTAACCTTAATACCTTCTTTAAGAATGAGAGAAATGTGCCCCGCAGGAGTGGCTCAGCAGTTGAGCCCTGACCTGTGATCCAGGAGATCGCGGTTCGATTCCCAATCAGGGCACATGCCTGAGTTTCGGGCTCGATCCCCAGTTGGGGGCGTGCAGGAGGCAGCCGATCAATGACTCTCTCATCATTGATATTTCCATCTCTCCCTCTCCCTTCCTCTCTCTGAAATCAATAAAAACATATTAAAAAAAAAAATGAGAGAAATATGAGGGTTCATTTCTAACAACAACAAAATATACATTTTAAGGTCGATTTATTTTTTTATAATTAAAGCAAATATTCTTTTATCCATACCAGAAAATGTTTGTGTGATTTTCTTACTCATCAAAACTGATGATAAATTCTCTCTGCAGATACTTAAAAAGACGTGGAGAGAGAACCACTCTCCCTCAGCTCAGTTCAGTCCCCATGGCCCATGAAGACACATGCTGGGATACAAAGGTGAGCAAGACCCTTCCTGCTTTGGTGACACAGGGTCTACGCATTTACTTACGGTCCCTCAAATCCTACCATCTCTCCTTCTACAAAGGTTTTGAGGCAACATCCAGTAGAAGAATAAAGAAAACACTGAAACAGAAAGTCAGGGACAAAGAAAATAGAAACCAAACACGCTAGAAACAAGAGTCAGTTTGACTGTGTTTCTACACTTCAAAGGGGGCTCCAAGTTACTGAGCACCCAGAGCAAAAAAGAAAGAGAAGTGGGGAAAAAGAGAGAAAGAGACATTGGGATATATAACTAAATTTTTAAGGATGGCTAGTAGAGGTAAAAATCCATATAACGTGGGAGTGCCAGAGATGGAGACCTGACTTCCCACGGGGGAAGGTGGGGACACAGTCACATTCTGGGCTGGGCTTGAAGGGCAGGGCTGAGCTCCCTGGAGGCTGCAGGAGAAAGGACATGCCCTACCCAGTCTGCGCCAGCGGAGAACCCTGCAAGCAGGAGGCCCCTCGGGGAAGTGGAAGATTCCAGCCCCCTCGGGGAAGTGGAAGATTCCAGCCCCGGGGCGAGGTGGGATGTAGTCCTAGACGGGCCTGGCGAGGACTCCAGGCCCGCAGGCAGATGCCATGCTAAGTACAGGTAACACTGGATTTTTGAGGGGGAAGGGGAAGACTGGAATACAACTTTTTTTTTTCTCTCTCTCTCTCTCTCTCTTTCTTTCTGTCTAGTATAAACTCCTGACACCAGGTAAAGAATGGACCAGAAAGGCAAAAGTCAGGAGGAAGAAAGATCTGTCAGGAGGCTCTGTAATAAATCAGATGAGGCATGATCAGGGTCTCGACTCTGGTCCTGGCATAGCAGAGGTAAAGGAAAGGACAAACAAGAGACTCTCTGACAGGACTCAGTGAATAATTAAATGGCAGGAAAAAGATGAGTCGCGCGTGACTAGAGCCCCTAAATCCTACCTGACCGATGATACCCCGAGGGCTGATAGTGCATGTTCTTTCTACTGTTTTATTAGGGCTGGTGTCAATAAAATTAACATCTAGCTTTGCGTCATACTATTTTTCATCAGTGAAAAGTATACAAAATTGTTTTTAAAATTATATCAGAACATGAAATGTATCTTTCTTTAAAATCAAAATGGAATGTACTGTCAGCCACACCCATGGTATGAGGTTGGTTCTATTTCTAGCTCAGGTTTCAGCACTTTTTTTCCTGTTTATTTACATTTATAAAAAAGAAAATGAGCTTTAATTCTGTTTCCAGAGATTTATATGATCTGCACCCACTAAGTGTCTTCCTATCCCCCTCCCACCTGGCCAGGGATAATGCAAAACTATAATCAAAGTAGATGCTTAAAAATTACTTGCTGAATGAATTTAAAAGCTGAAGTCAGATAAAAATCACCTGTTCCCCAAACCTGTAGACAGTGATTGCTGTTAGTATCAGACTACCTGTTAAAGGCGGGTATGTAAGGGATTGCTGCTGCTCATTAAATGACAATTTTAAAATTTCATCAGGAAAAACATTTCCTAAATAATTTACCCTTGTCACCAAATGTATTGCTATGAAAAACTGCTAGCAGCTCTACTAAGTCCTCATTAGTGCTAAGAATTGCTATAGATAGAACATGAAAATGTCTGGAAGATTTTGCAATGCACTTACATTTCCATGGAAAGTGACATTACTATATGGTCAATATAATACAATTAGAAATTTTACCCTTTATAATAGTGTTTCACCTTTGAGTTTTGAAGGGAAAACACTGATTTTTATCTACCCTAATTTAAAAAATCATTATTGTCAGTGACCTCCTAATACATACAAAATAGAGGTCAAACTTAGATTTGATATTCAACTCCCTAGATGATCTGGGCCAATCGACTTCTAGTCATAATTTCCTCTAGTCTGGTCAGTGATTCCTGCAAAGTGAGGGTGTGAACCACTGACTGTGCAAGTGCTAGGAAGGAGGAGGAGGAGCCCTGGAAGGCTAGGGTTTAGGAAAGCTTCATGGGCAAGAAGGCAGGCAGGGTGGAGGGCAAGACAGGTCAGGGGCTATATCCTTCCGTTCCTAGATCAAAGCCTTCAGTGGCAAGCCCTCAGCCCTGCCCGTGCGAGCATGTGTGTGTACACACAGAGGTCAGCAGGGATGGTGTCTCTGGGAACTGACCTAGCTGCAGTGAGCTCAGAACTAGGGGCTTGAGAAGCCTGAGCAGAGCTGGAGCACCAATTCTGACTTGGTAACTTGGCGACTTGGCAGTTAAGTGTCTATACTGAGTCCAATACATCTGAATTCAGGTTTGAGCCACATGTTAGCTAAGTGATCTGGGCAAGGCATTTCATGTTTCTGAGTGCCAGTATTTTAATTATAAAAAATGGGGAAAACTATATATTATATGTGCGTACACTGTACTCGGCACAGTACCTGAGCATAGGAGAGAAAAAAATAATAGTTTTTGTCATTAGTACTGAATGCCAGATCCAGAACACCAGAGCTCTGGGATCAGGCCTCTAACCGCATTCACCCATTTCACCAACCAGCAACTATCACAAATCCCTTTGGTTCCTAAAACACTGGGTTGTAAACTCAGATGAAGAATTCAGTGAAAATATTTTGACCTTGATAAAAGGTTTTTATAGATTTTCCCCCACCCAAGATGGCAGTGGTAAATGGCAAAGGAACTCTTTTGTTCTACCACTTTTTAAACATTACTCAATAACCTGACACATTCAAAATGGCATGCAAATGGCTTTCTAAAACAAACATTTGCCCCTCATAAGTCATGTACACTATTTTGGTTAAAAAATGATTCTACAAACAACCTATGAAAGACGGCATTAAATATACGTATGTATTTCCAACGTCATATAGATGTGAATTGGAATTCCTACTGCTGTTAACATTAACACTAGGAACAAGAATTGTCTTACTGGATACAGAACTTCATCTTTGCCTTAAACATGCCATTGAGCCAGACATCCCTTTAACACTGACTGACCCTCTAAAAAACTTAATTCGATATAAGTTTATACTTCACTATGCATTTTCAAATTTTAATATCAACATTTTCATAAGTTACCTTTTAGTTGACAGGTGGTTTTACATTTATCATAGTGGACAGAAATTGTCTCTTTATATGTATTAAGTCAAAACAGGTCCATTTTTAAAGTATAAACAAGCACTATTTAAAATACTAAAATATTTAAATAAGTATATTAAATATATTAATATAAATATCCTCAAACAACAGAGGGGACAAGTCACAGGTGGGGGACTCCCTTTGCCATTCTTGTTTGTCCATATCTACTTACCTCCTACTTTCTGTGGAAGGTCTTTGGCCACTGCAGCTATAGTGACAACTCTAAATTCTGAATTTCTCCTACAGAATTTAGTCTATGCTATATGGTTTAATTTTTACTATATGATTAACACAATCATATGCTATAATATACCATTATTTAAATTTTCACATGTCTTTTTTGTTTTGGATTATTAGACTGATGAAACACTTGAGAGCCAAAAGAATTCATCCATCTCCTTGGCACTGAGTACGGCACTATGGAAACAGTGGGAACACTGCAAATATTTTCTGAATAGTCTTATAAGACCCTATGTATCTTTAAAATAATTGCATCTTAAAGGAAATTCTATTATAATATTAACTAATATAAACTAACTTTTACTTCTAAATATTTATTTGAATGATTTTATAAAGGCAGAAGATACCAGATTATTTGCCCTAATTTGAATTGTTGTTAAGGTTACAAGTTGCACATCAGTGGGGTTTTCCCCCTTGTTCCTTTAGTAATAGCTATGCGTGTGGCAATGTGCCTCAGTAATAGCATTTCCCAGCCACCATTGTTGGTAGAGGTGGCCAATGAGATGCAAGTGAAAGCTACCAGATAGGGCTTTTGGAAGAGCAATTTAAAGGGGGCCTGCTACCAGATAGGGCTTCTGGAAAGAGTTATTTAAAGGGGGCTTGCTTTTGCCTCAGTCTTCTATGGCTGGAGATGCAGCAGCCAGGTTGTAATCAGCACAATGGAATACTGCTTGGCTGTGCAGGGAGGGAGATCTTGCTTTTTGCAGCAGTGTGGATGGACCTGGAGAGGACTGTGCTGAGTGGGGTGGGCCAGTCAGGGGGAAGAGGTGCCATGTGATTTTGCTTATATGTGGAGTCTAATAAATGGAATAAACAAACAAACAAAACAGAAACAGACTCATCGCTGTCAGAGGGTAGGGAGTAGGGGGGCCAGGTGAAAAAGGTGAAGGAATTAAACAAAATTCAAAACAAAACAAAAAACAAAACAACCCCTCATAGACTGACAAGAGTATGGTGATTCCCAGAGGGAAAGGAGGGTGGGAGGAGGCAGGAGATGGTAAAGGGGAGACAAATGGTGACGGAAAGAGACATGACTTGGGGTGGTGAGCACACAATACAATATACAGATGATGCACTATAGAATTGTACACCTGAAACCTATATAATTTTATTAACCAATGTCACCCCAATAAATTCAATAAAAAACAACAACATTTAGAAGCCCCTAAATCCTGTGACATGCAACTACTGGGCCAGACAATACTGCGACAGGCAGGTACCTGGCCGAGAGAGGGAAGGGAAATTAAAATCTTTCACCTGGACAGCAGTGTTCATTTGGGAAGTCACTTTCAGCTACCTGCCCTCCACATTTACAGAGCTCACAGGAAATATATCTTCTCAAGACTTTTTAATCTGTAATTATTATGTTGTTTATTTGAAGTTCAATTTTAACTGGGCTAAATTTTTTATTTGCTAAATCTGGCAGTCCTAGTTATAGTGGTACCTTAAGGGGAAAAGTTGGCTCAATTAATGACCTGTGTCTTATTTATGGAATTTTGATTTCTTGTATGCAGTAGGAAATGTTTTAACTACATATGAAGGAATTACGCAGCACAACAATATAAAAAGGTGAGCATAAATGACTAGTTAGTTGTAAGAACTTTCCCAACAATATTGGGAATCTCATCTTTTAAAAACTGTGCCCCGTTGAATTAGGCATCACTCCTAATTAATAAAATGTTCATTGACACATTATAAGTACTATAAACTTAAAGACACGTATTTTTAAAAAGCAAGTAGCCCACAAGGATAAAGAGACAAAAAAACAACACCACCTTTTTTCTAAAGAGATAGCATTTAGAAAAAGAAGGTTAAGGCATACTTTCATGATAAGTGACAGATAAGACAACTTCCCCCTGCTCCCCCCCAAAAGTTTTTCATGTTCATGGAGATCTTCTAAAATGTACTCAATTTACTGCCAGAAACAGAGGCCATCTTTGGAATCCAGGGCAAGGTGAAAAAACCTGCAGCATTTACACACACTGCAGCATTGTAGCCATTCTTTATGCCCTTTCAGCTCACTTTTATTACTTCCAGACCCCTTTCCTCATTAACGCGCAGATATAAACTGGGGGCTACTGCTAGGGCGGAGAGCAAATACCCCGGGTGCTGGTGAGATTACAGACCTCCACCTCGCATGCATATCAGCTGGAGAAAGGCCAGCCCTTATTCATCAAATTTAAAAAGCGCTCTCTCATTTCATGCTAATTGTATGGTCCTTTGCATGATATACAAAAGACTGCCTAAGATGAAAGGCGTTAAAAAGAAAACTACCAGTCTCGGAGGTTTTTTTGGAACAAGATTAACTTATTACTTTTTTAGAGAAAGTAAATGACTAATTCAAGAATCACATTTATCTTCACAGAATGAACTTTACAGGGTTTATTATTATCCAAGTCTATTCAACTGCCTCCCTCTGCCTAACATAATGTGACTCCAAACAATGTGACTTCACCTATTTCAGTGCTTCAGGACCCTCTAGGTTGGTGTCGAACAGTTCATAAGTTAAAGAATTTAAAAGAAAGTGCATACATATTTTATATGATTTTTTTTCACAAGGAAATAGTTAAACCTCCCTGGAAGAGAGGCCAATTATTCATAAATGCTTGTTTCCTAGGTTCTGCTTGTAGGTTCTGCTTCGACTGGTTTCGTATAAAAGAACAAAATCACAAACTCATTTTCGGTTATGAATATTATCTGTAATATAGTTAAGTGACAAAATATTCCTCAAGGGCTGTACATAAGAGAAACCATGATAACTCACGACATACCATAATTTATGGTAGATGGAAACATGTGAATTGGGTCTTTGAAAACCTGCATTATATAGATTTATGTTCCTATAAGTAACCAACAGATTATTAACCACGGGAGAGCCGTCGGGGAAGAGGTGGAAATGAGAGCAGCAGTAGGTGCGGTTCATTCTCAGGCCGCGCGGCCAAGCAGCGCTTTTCCTCCGTAACTGCCCACCGCTCCCGCCAGCCCGCTGAGTGGGGTCGGCGGTGCCAACGAGCGGCGCGGAGCTGCGGCCCCGGACGGAGCAGCGCAGCTGGGCTCCCCACGCCTCCAAATCACTAGCCGCTCCAGAGGTTAACAGCCGAATCAAACATGCTGTGAATAACCAATATTTCCTATACATACTGATGAGGGTTTTTTAAAGCCTGTTAGACTAGCATTGTTCAGTAAAACTATAAATGAACCACACATGTAATTTTAAATTTTCTGGTACAACAGTAAGAAAGTTAAAGAAAATAGGTGACATTGATTTTAATACTCTTTTTTTTAACCCAGTATATCCAGATTGTTATCATGGCAACATGTAATCAACAAGAAAGATTGAGAATATTTTACAATTTTTTAATACCAAGTCTTTGAAATCCAGTATGTATATTTACAGCATGTCAGAATTCAGGCTAGTGACATTTCAAGTGCTCAGTAAGTACATGGAGCAAGTAGCAACCATGTTAGACAGTCTAGTTAAAATTTCACAAACTTAAAAAAAAACCCCTTGTTCTTAATGACTACCTAATGTTTTCCTGTGAGACAAATCTTAAGCCACTATTGAGGTTACTGGTTCTTTGTGTTAATGAACACAGTAAAAACACAAGAAAAGCTGGGCCCCTAAAAACAGGGATTGAATCCTAAGGTCATGCTTAACTTTTATTAATAAATATTTACATATTAAACTACTTGTCTTCCCTGGCCACATGTCTGATCCTATCTCAAATTTCAGGAGTTTTAATTTTCCTCTGAGGATTTAATTATCAGCCACATCACCCAAGATTCAGTGAAATATTCACATGTTTACCACTTGCTATTTGAGTAACAGTGTTCCAAAGTAGTAAATTGTGTTAATTTTTAACTGGTTTATGAGTAATTGGTAAAAATCATAAGAGTTTCTTCAGGAAAAGAGTTCCAAAAAATCAAGAAAATAATAACTAAAAAGAAATTAGTACCAAAATACACTAAATTCCAGGCTAACAAGCTCTTTGGCCCTTATGAAACTACAAAAGACAGCTTAAGGGCTTGCATGCTAAAGTGAAACCCAACAAACCATTTTAAAGAGCTGAAGCAGGAATGATTATTAGAAAAATAAGTGACAGAGAGGTGCCACTATTTAACCCTCAAATCAGAATAAACAAAATTTAAATGGTAAAATTTTTTAAAGAAAACGAATGCTAGTTCCTTTGTTTCTTCTCTCTCATTTATTGTTAGAAAAATTTAATGTCAAGTTTGGGTTTTGATTTGACTGCCAATTCCAGGCAATATATTAGAAACCAAAAAGTTAGTGGAATTGTAATCAACATCTAAAAAGATCTTGACACACAAACAGAATATTCATCTTAATCACTTATAATGAGATTATGTAATGTAAATATGTCAGAAAACCTTAATATACTCATGATATGCTTTTAGCCATAATTTATATATAACTTAACCTATAATTCTCATAATATATCATCCTCAGATCTCATAGTCTCCTTTAGCACCACCAATCTGCATCTGTAAAACTTCTTAACACTTAACTTGACTGAGGAAAGCAGAGGTGTGATTAACTGATTCATTTGGTTAGTTGGTGTCTAGCTTTGTGATGCCCTAAAATTTAAGTGATGAATACCTGTGAAAAACACAGTTATAGCCTCCAATCTTGTAGTTCAGTTATGGTCAACTGTCTTGCATGATCTTGCAATGATGAGTTTTTAGAAGTACAACGCAATATTTTTAACCATAATTTTTAGGCAGTGTTTAAAATGCAAAGTTACTCATGGATCTTCTGGCGACTCGGTAACCTTATACTAGCATTTGAATTCAATTTTCTTTCACAGAAAGGCTACAACTATTGAAGCTGAAAGCACAGAACACTGATTTTGGTTCTCAATGTCAATAGGCATGAAGTGGAGGTTTAGAAAAATAAACAGCTCACACCCATGAAGATCTGTCCAGCTAAAACTGGCGCACCTCTCCTGATCTGGTTCAGCGGACCTTTTGCAGAAGTATGAGTTCTGCAGGGTCTTTGGAGGTATGGTGTACAGGGGCTGAAATTCTCTTCCACTGACTTGCAACTTGCAAGTTCACTGTGGTACGGGCCGGCCAGGCACCAGTTAACTGAAATGTTACTGCCATTGCTTCCTTCCTTCCATCTTTTGACTATTTATTTGATACTCACTACAAGTATATTTTTAGGCATTGGAATTTCAGCAGTCAGTAAGATGGAGAAGACTCCAGCTTTTGAGAATCTTACATTCTTCCAGTAATTACCTGTAACTTGTCATATAGAGCACGCTATAAGCAACTGTTGAATGTAAACATTATTTGATATATTAAAAATTGGGAGTTAAAATGAAGAAGTAACAATAATATCCATAGTTTGAAGAATATCTTCAGATGCTTATCATTTACTTGTCAGCTTCTTTATTTTTTGCAAGAATATCTTTTACTAAATAGCTAAAGGGGGCAAAATGCACCAAAAGATACTTAGGAATCACCACTTAAAAAGAAGAGAAAAAACACCTTGAATCATTTTAAAAATAACATTTAAAATGTGTCTTCAGTCAGGAACAGACGCCAAATAGTCAAAAGAAAGAAAAACATCTAAAACACAACTGAGTTTTGAGGACAGACGTAGCGTTCAATAGAGCTACAGCCTCCGTAGGTCCCGGGAGTCAGATCATCACTGAGCTGGCC